ACAATTATGAAACAAGAGATTACTCGAAACCCAACTTTTCTTCGTGTAATAGAAAGCGAATTGCCAACACATTTATAGGTTCTGAAAAGATGGGTTCGACGATTTCAGAAAAAATGTCAAATGACTATGGACTTGCGTTTTGTGGGACTTTAGGAAGACCAGGTAACTCATAGTGAAGTAGATTCGTACCTGGTGAAACCCTGTATCCATGTAATGGTTGTTATGCAACCCGGAACTCTCTGGGGGTCACTATAGCAGCAGGAAAAAAAAGTTTGGTGGTAACTGCATTGGTCCAATCATCAAACATATGAGGCTGCTTTCAGAAATAGTGTGATTCGACTTTCATTTTTAAAGGCAATTTGGTTAGAGGGAATTTATGGATTTGTCTATCCGGAAACCGTAGGAAGATTGCTTTGGAGGAGGCAATCCTTCTTCCGTTTCCGGTGAGACCAATTAACGAATTCTCTTAAATCATCTGTTCTATCGAAATGAAAATTCCAGTCACACTAAATCATATAAGGATTCTTCCAAAGCCAGCCTTCTTATAAATTCTATGAGAAATATTGTTTGCGAGTAGGTTGCGTGAATATTAGTAAGGTTTTAAACAGAAATGGACCCAAATTAGGTCGTTTCGGGTGAATTTAGGACTTATAGTTGAATTTTTCCATAATGAAATGAATAATATAATGAATATCATTAAACATTTCTTCCCAAAAGGGATCTGGGTCTCATCTGTATCACCAAAGAGATTATAAACTAGGTTGTACACATCGTTCGTACATATTTAACCCCTCAACTACCCAGGCACAGTAACCATTAGGTTGCAGAGTAGATGTGACTATCCATACAGGCCAGGTCTCTTACAAACAAATATGTTTTTGCCATTGTTGTGGAAGCTTTCATTTAATTGAAAGTGTGCGTGATGAAGAGATGATGTCGATTGAACTCACCGGAAGACGACAGCTTATTCCCGCTTTTCTGCAGCCGTGTTTGGGTTTAACACGATCTTCACGTTGGCACAGTCAACGAGACATCCTCCTCTTTTCGGATGCCAACGGGCCAAGCTTTCGTTTATCTTGACAACAGAAGGACATCTTCTGGGCTGGAACTCACTCCTGCATAAGCTTCAACTTGATGCCAGAATTTATTCCACATTCTAGCCATACTCATACAGAGACTATATGGTTAGAGATGTATAAAGACTAGTTTGGTTAGTTCTCCATGGCAATGTATACTCGGGAGTGTCCGTCTGTGTGCATATGTGCGTGTGTGCTAACGTTTGCACGCAATGACAGCCATGGCTCTGAGTAATTATCAAAGTTTGAGTAGAGTTTCGAGACTACCAGTAAATCAGTAATATGAGATGTATTCCCCCAATTTCGTTTAGGGTGAATACATCTCATATTAATTAGCAAAGAGCCTGACATCAGGCTCGGGTCGTCAAGGCATAGTGAAGAGACAACCAATAACAACCCGTCAGCATAGGGTAGTTAGGATTTGATGACCCGATGATGGCTATGACTGGGATTGCATAACCTTGAATGTCTGATGTGTGTGTGTTTGTGTGATATATTTAATGGACCTGGAGATCTGCATCATGCTTTTTCATACAAAATGAAAGTTTTCACAATTATGTTACTCCGAGAGATTCATCGAAGCTCAGCTACTCTGTATCTGTTTGCAATTATAATCAACGACGTTACTTGTATCAGTAATTCGTGAATTTCACTTAGCCTAGCCTTATCATAGAACCGAAGAAGCGACTTGTCTGTCCCCTTTTGCATCGGCATGGCCACTTTTGGAGATGACCGACAATTCAGTAGAACAAACATGAATGTTTCCGCTGAGATCCAAGGTTTGTCTGCTTCCTCCTCGCCTTCAGGCCATTGGAAGTTGGTGCTCACGCCCCTTTCAGGTCTACATTTCACAACCACACATCAAATCATACCCGGCTGCAACCACAATCGGCATCGGTGTGGAAGCTAACC